GAGAGACGATTGAAAATGAATGCAGACGAGATCCAAACTTCCATAGAAATATTATATGGAGGCATGAGGCAAATTTTTTGAATTTTGTGATGTATAATTGAAAGAATTTCCATTATTCAGGTAATCTAATCCATTCCCACAATCCTCAAAGACGATTTAGTATTAATGTTTCGATGATTTCAATCTGGAGACTTATTAGATGATATATTTTCAGCAGGATGGAGCACCAGCACATAACTTCAGTGGCGTAGAAGAATAATGGAAGACTATTTTGGAAACAGATGGATTATTACCTTCAGGAAGGTAGATGATATGAGCTTTGTCATTGAGAATGTTATAATGAATCGAAATGCATGAATGCATGAATGCACGAAAAAAAAAATTTTTAGGAATTATTGTGAAAACCCGACTGTCATTTTTTTGTTTTCGGCATCGAGAAGGCCATTAAAAATTTTATTAGTTTTCCAATTTAACCAAATTCGTAGCATGAATAATAACGAATTTGGCAATGGTGCCTTTTTAATTTGGAATACCCTGTATATCTACGATTTCTCTAAGATGAATAGATTTTATCGTATTTATATTGATCAAAAGTAGCTAAACTGCTTGTTCCATGTTATTATGTGGATATCTGATGAACGATTATAGTGATTAAAATGTTTTTGAAAGAATTCTCGCAAAATATATTCTCCAAACGTATTGATATTCTTTCCATAATTTGTATATTGAATGGGGTGGATCTTTGTTATTTGTTCATTTACTATCAATATAACCACTGAAATTAATGAGTAGATTGAAAATGGTTCGTCCATCAACCAGCTATTGTTCTACAAGAGTGACAATTCTCAAATGTCGAAACTTGAACCATCTGGGAATTAACTGTGTTTTCTTTGACTTATGATTTCTACCGAAATCATCACACATTGTGAAATGAATGATAATATGAGGAGTGTTCCACTTACCATTTGTTTGAATTTCCTTGCAGCTTTTTGGGAGCGATCTATTCGATTTTTGATGCTGATTACAGAAGTGAGATTTATCAACTCCTACTAGAGATTTGCAATTTGAAGTAAAATCGAAATAGAATGAGCTGAAATTGAAAATTATTATCGAATCAGCACTTGATCGAATCCCAATCATTCGAAATGAGGCTACAAAAATATGTCACGATTATTTTTGAGTGGGAAATTTTGTAGGATTGTTTTCAATTGAATCACAATAATCCTAAAAGGGGCTGATGTAGTTCAAAGTAGAATTTTTCGAAGAATTTTCATTCCATACCGGTGAAATTCATTCAATTCAGTGCTTCCATTATCGTTTCGTGGCGTGTCACAAAGTGAAGTGGTGTGGAAGGCGCCTGAAACTTCTATTTGCGCTGCTTCATCAAAAACAGGGTGATTATTTATTTTCTTGTTATTAATGGAAACGGTTTCACTGAGTTTCTGGTACTGATGAAGTGCCCGCCGTCAAACTTCAAAAGTGCTCCGAAGAACTCGCACCAGTATTTTGAAGACTTCTCAACTTGTCTTACAAGAAAGGGTTTTTTCTTCTTACTGGAAGATTGCCTGCGTTCAGCCTATTCCCGAAAAACACTGTAAAAATCTTCAAAATAACTATAGACCACTCGCTTTGCTATAAGTGATATCAAAAATCATGGAGAAAACTGTGAACCAACATATTCTTGAATATTTGTGAGGCTTTAACATCTGGAGTGATCATCAATATGGCTTCTATCGTATGTCACCCATATCTGAACTAACGCAATCAATAAACATGGAGAGTCAATATTTCTGATGCCTTCGACCGTGTGTGGCATGAGGGTTTGCTGGCCAAACTTCGATTCTATAGTTTGCCGGATCATTTTCGTGTATGACTCTTCAGCTTCCTGAAAATACATTTCCTACATATGGCTGTGGTGGATATCTTTCGGATACTTTCACCATCAACACCGGCGTTCTCCAGGGAGCCATATGGTATCCAACCCTCTTTTTATTGTATATCAACGATTCATTGATAAAAACCTAATATGTAACTCTGCTGACGACAGTACACTTGTCTCGCTATTCCATTCGGATTCCAGGATATAGGCTGCGGATGCACATCTTTACCGGCAGCAGGAGATTGCATATTTAAATGTGGAGCTAGTGGTGAATTTGAATTGGGGTGAAAGTAACCAGATTCAATTCAATGCCACGAAAACCCAGGCCTTGGTTTTCTCTAAATAGATAAATGTCTCCAAACCAGATATAATAATGTCAGGATAGACAACTCCGCTTTCTGCTTCGATAAGTTTGTAGAGGATTAAAATTGACACCAATATGTCTTGACACCATCATGTCGCTGGAATTGCAAAAGCTGCTTCTCAAAAGCTTGAAACACTGTTCCGAGCCAGAAAACCGCAGAAACCTTGGTAACTTTTGATGCTTTATGAAGCTCAGATAAGACCTTCTTTGGAGTATTGTTCTCATGTATGGAGCTCTGCCCCCAAAGATACCCTGAAGTTGCTGGATTCCATCCAGACAATATCCATCCACCTGATTGGAGCCACCAACATCACTTGCAACCTCGATAGTCAGGAGCATTGAAGAAAAGTTGAAGATTTGTCTCTTTCTTATTGATAGTTTCACGAAAGGTGTTCGAGTGACTTAGCACATTTGATTCCAACAAGAGCGGTACATATCAGAAATACGTGACGGACTGTGGCTGCTCATTGTTTTGAGGTTCAACTCAGTACACCTCAAACTTCACTCTCTTCACAACTCCTTCATTTGAAGAACTGCGTTCATTTCGAATATACTTCCTGAGAACGTTTTTCCATATGAATTTAATCTTTAGCGATTCAAATCCAATGTGTATCGCTACTTCCGAAGAGGCACCGCTCTGCGCCTAGAGGATTTTGCTGTAGTGCTCAGCACGTAACTCTAGGACATATTCATTATTTGAATAACCGCGATATCTTTCATCAAACATTGTTGTTGTCCATCTTTGCATCTTTGACATTTTCCATAAATATTAATAATTTCAGTTCTTTGTTGAAGTGCTAACACCATTGTTGTAAATAATTGAATTAACGCACAACCTCTAATACACAAAACTTATTTTACAATAATGTACTTTTGGCAACCAAAAGTTAACATTTGCTGGTGCTAATTTATTATATTTTTCAAAATAAAGAAAGGAGTGATGCAGACTCCGAATGGAGTAACCGTTTCTTCAAAGATCCAAATTCAATTTGGTAAAATATAGTAAAAACCAAAGCTGTGAGTGAAGCTCTGATCATTATTTTTTAACGAATTCAGTGACAGATGAAGAAAATTGCAATATGTAGTGACTCCAAAAATATTTCCTGAGAAATATCATACTAACCTTTGTGATTTCACCATATTTTTCAGTTCTTCTATCAGTGTTTCCAATTGATCTTTGTAAAAGAGTCCTTCAGTAGTTTGGAGTCGCGATGTTTTGTTGGAAATATCTTGACATATTTTTTCATGTTTTGTTTCACCTCTTGTTTGATCTATCTGAGATTCTCCTATTGAAAATAGAATAATTTCTGTATCAGTCAGAGCTTTAATTGAACTTGTATGATCTTCGCAGATAAATTTTATGCACTGGGGAAAATATATAATGTAATTCCGAAGTGCAAATTGTCAATAAATGTTTTGGTTGTTCCATACTTCTTGGTTTTATCTGTGATACTGAAAATATATGTATGATGCAAAACCAATTGCACAATAAATGGAATTATTTCAACTTGACCAGGAAATCAGAAAGGAAGGTATCAATTTTTTTAATTTCAATCACATAATTCATCCATAGTAATCCAAAATGAAAGCAATACCTACAAAAGATCGGTTCTCAACAGATGAATAAGAAGATTTCTCTTGCTTTGACGAGGAGTTCAGAAGTCCAGAAGTTGTGAAAAAATAAATCAGTATTTTTCTACACTCATCACATCAGAATACAACAGATGGTTCTGAATCAATAACATTTTTGACAATATTATATGAGATGTGGAAATATATTGCGAATTAACCATACAAGATTCATGTGTCTCTAGTTCTATAATCTCAATACTCCATAGGTATGAAGGAATTCAAGCTGATCTGTTTCAGTTCGCTACGCAAATTCAGTGATCAGGGAAAACTTCAGTTCTTGAGAGAAATCAGCAAGCAGCTGGTGAAAATAAGTTTTGAAATGGCTTTTCGTTGTCTTTTGAAAAAGAGGATTGTTCCACATTGAGATTTTTGTGATCAAATGAAAATTGAATGGAATCTCCAATAAAAACCAGGAAAATACACATCAACTCTCGTCAACACGTTCTTCTCTGGTCGGGGCAGATTTATTGAAGAAATGAATGAATATTCAACTCCTCACATCCATAATTTCAGTTCATAACTTCAAATCTTTATGAAAGGGGGTTTATCAAAATAACTTTCGAATGGAACATCTTGAGCTCTCTCATTTGAAATTATTAAATTCTATTTAATCGAAACCCCATCAACGTTGCCCCCACATTATCGTTGTGGTGAAGAATTCATATTTTTATAATTCCGGAAGCCACAGCGGCAGTGGCTCAGCTACCTTGGCCTTATACTCTATCACCTGTATCACCAACAGAGCATCCGGGATAGTAGCCTTGTATTCATGTAGAGGGTTCGATGGATGTGGACAATAATTTTCCCTCCATTCGTGGGATTCATATATCTGTTTTAAAAATCTGTTTTTCCGTTAATCAGCTGTCGCCCCCCTACGAACGACAACTCTCAGAAGTTGAGAAACTTGTGCGAGCTGAGGACTAACGAGGTCTTACCTTTCAACATGTGATTACTAACACGGATTTTGAGCGATATATAAGCAAAAACAAGAATGAGAAGAACTTTTCTAGTGACTCTTCCCTAGATATTACTGACCGAAAGACTCAGGAGGACCAACATAGTCAAATACGAACAGCGCGTGACAGTATTACCGAAACCTGGTATTGCAGAATTCACAAGTGTCGGACTGTACCACAGATGTGGCAGATGCGTAAACTGAAAAATGCGAGAAATATCTCTGAACGGACAAGAATTGGAAAGACACAACACTAATTTTCAGTACAAAAAAAAACTTCAATAAGCACTGAGGCCCTATGGATGATCTGTACCAATGAAGAAAAACGAGAAGTGAGAAAGTAATTGACGTGAAAAGAGGTACTAAATTAATAGGTTATTATGTTTGGAAAGCTGTTGAAAACATTCAGAACTTCAAAATCAGAGGAAACCAAACCTCCCAAGGGAAACACAAGTGTAGGATCGATTTGAAAG